AAATCAATCACTATCTGACGGTCTATATTATTGAAAATAATTACTCCGTTTTAGTTATTTTCCGTTCATCATTTTGACCAGAATATTTAATTTAATTTTTGTTTATTGGGAAATTTATTTTCTGTATACAAGGTGGTTCGTAAATTCCCATTTAAATTATTTTCATATATTTTCTAACCGCTATATTTAATAAATTTTATTTGCTGAAAATTTATTTTCTATTTACAGGGAGATTCATATTTCCCAGGTCGATTAGCCTCCTGTGCTTTCGAACTGCTATATTGAATTTAACGTAATTTACTGGAAAATTTAGTTTTATTCATTGGTAAATTTATTATCCGTATACAGGGGGAACCATAATTATTTTCCTGTAGCTTTCAACTGTGGAATTTTTATAATTTTATTAATTTTCCGTATATGGGGGAACTCATAATTATTTTCCTGTAGCTTTCAGCTGTTGTAAATAATTATTTTTTTTATGTGAAATGTTTATTTTCTGTATACAGAGGTGCCGATATCGAACACTAGTTGTTATATTTTTGTTTGTAAATATGTTTTGTTATTTATCTCTGTGTTTCTCTTATTACTGGATCTTAATCGTTTTCTTTTAGGGTACCGTAGGGTACGAGGTATAAGGGATATAAGTGTTGTAATTCTAATTTAGTGGTAACCTCGTTAGCAGTGACCGCCTAGAAATATTTCGACCCCACTGAGTTTATCTTGAGTGCACTCTGGTATACTACAGGGTCGCAGAGCAAAAACTGGCGTCCGAGCAACCTCTAATCTGTTTTCACCATCTTAGCGCCACACAGACTTCCTAATTCACTGTTGGTGAACCAGATGCCTGTCACAGTGCATAAAATATATCCAGAATATTCTGAAGAATCCAAAAATTGAAAAATACACAGTGTGTTGTTTTTAAAATAAGAAAGTTGGTGTTGGCCACTTTTACATAATACACCCATAAAAAGTGTTTGTTAAAAAAATGCTCAACAAAATAGCAATCGACGGGTTCAAGCGTTTTTCCGAACACCCCCCATTTATTTATTACCGAATTTATTCCATTTGGCTGTTCTACACTGTATACTTTTTAGAATATACTTTTAAAACACGTACTAAGTATATACTTTCTAATATATACTTTCAATGTATATTCTAGAAATAATCTATAAACATTTTAAAAAGAACATACTAAAAAGAACAAGCAACACGTTCTTAGTATATTCAGAGAACATTGATGTTATGTGGGTTTGTAGTGTTTGCAAACTTACCATTTAACTAACTATAATATTTGAATTAATTTTAATTTTGCAAGTATGCTGTAAAAATATTGCGACCGTGTTGCCATATAATATTCAAACATTGTATAAGATAATTTGCCTCTTTTTGCGGACTTGCACATTTTCCCTCAGGTCTACCAACTCCAATATAAAATTTATAGAAATATAATTTTACTTTCATTGTGAAAAATTTAATTATTGCTAATTTCGTCTGTTTGCCGCCGTAGTGCAAAATGAATAGCATGCCTAATTTACGAATTTGATCATTTGCATATTATGTTGTAATTTTGATGAACCATATTTAGATAAATAAAAAAAGTATGCTGTGATTTTTTAAGCATGTAAATATTTTGGTTGCTAAATGAGATAAAATAATGTTAATTAACAGCAATTAATTTACTTTGACGAAGTGAGTTCTAGATCTGATATAGAGAAATAGAAATGGTATCAAATTTGCAGGTTATATTTCTGATCGTCCAGCAATCCTTTAATTTAGTTTTTTGCCATTTTAAAATGTTGCCGACATTGTATCGAGTTATAAAATTGGCTAGTTTCGATTCATTTGGTACGTAATCTTACTAAGAAGTTTAAAAAATATTAGAATTATTGTAATAATGTTCGGTTTGTACCACAGATTTGGATAGAGGAGATAGGAAAGGCCATTTTCCCAGGTGTTTCAAAATAATCGTACCATGTAGGCCGCCATGTTGGCAATTAAAGCGTACAACTCACATGCGCAGTTGTAGTGTTTTGACAGAAGTGTCATTTATGTCAAATAGTGTCGGTTTTTTTTTTGAAATTCACTATTTTAGTGAATTTTAGAAGTTTTTACTATAGACAATTAATAAAATGGGAATGACTTGCTTTGTTTTTGGTTGTTTAAACAACGAGGATTCAGAAAACATTACATTCCACAAGTAAGACATCTTTTCTACCAGAACCGTATTCTTCACCACATTTTTTAGACTATATTTTCATTTTCTAGAAAACGAAATATCATAGTACAATAACAAAATGTATGTAGGTATCTAATGTTTATATTGTTATACATTTTTTAGATTGAGGAAAAAGCATATGCTTCTTGGTTAATAGCTATTGGAAGAAATCATTGGAGAATATAAGTGCAAATAACTCTATTTGTTTCTCCCATTTTCATAAAGATGATTTAATCGTTTCAAAACGAATAGATACAATAAAAAAATAATGCAAACCTTCCTTAAATATGCCTAAAATTGATGATTACCATTAGTGTTATGAGGTAAATATATATTCATAAAATTATCAATTTGTTTCTTTTTATACTTTTTAAGAAAATGATAAAAAATTGTTAATTATCCCTATTATTTTTAGAAATGTACAACCTTCAACTTCAACGAATATTTAGAATTCAGAATCTAAAGAGGAATTATAGAAGTTGCCAGTTGGTTATTTTTTATTAAGGGTTTAGATGGCAATGAAAGAAAAAATGTGGCGTTATAGGCTCTTCTAAAATTGCATGAATATGGAGTTATCATTAGCTAATTATCATTTAATGCACTTACAATGATAACAACATTAGGTGTAAACCTATACAACTTTGATATTGACACTGCAACTCCATATTTCTTGCATTTGCCATAGATAAAAGTACATTTTCTATAATTTTAGATGCATGTCACATACTTAAGTTGGCTTGTAATAACTGGGATAATTTTACTAAAATTGTCGAAACTAATGGCAAAATTATTGATTTTAATTATATTAGACCAGAGCATACTGGCGCATTCGTTTGCAAAATTGTTTTAATTCGTAATTTTTTTTTAATGTCCGGAAGGCTTTCCTGATTATAAAAGTGTAAGATAACACTCGATATTTGTTGATGTTATTCTTTAAACAACGAAAAATTAATTAAGCCAGAAAAAATGCATCTTTTGCAATGAATTATTTTTTTTTATATTCTTCAGGATATTTCAAATAAAAAAAGTCCTTACGCCCATCATCGTATCTTCAACCCTTTAATTGTTATGAATTTTTTAAAATCCAAAATTGACGAAAATTCTGATTTTCTTGAATTAAATAATATACCTTAAAATTTAAAATGCTATAATTTTAAATTTTTTACCGAATATTCAAACTATAATAAACAAAATTACCTAAATAAATTTTCAAAATTTTGTTTGTAATGTTTTTTTACGTTATAACAATATGTTCATTTTCAATTAGTTTAAAATAAAAACTTGTTTCGAGAAATCAATAATCATAATTATGAGTATCTACCCTTATAAGAAAATCACATATCAAGATTAATAAAAACCTTAAAGACATATTGTTCAAACACCAATGAAAATTTAAAAAACTAAATTTGTATTTTTTGTTCCTTATTAACTTTTAATAAATAGCTTTTTTTTATTTATAATTTATTAGTGCCATTTTCTAATGTAATATAAATGTTTTAAGTTTAATAACATAATGTTAACATATATTTACTGTAGTATGTATTTATTACACAAGATAAAAAAGTAAAACTCTTCGCACTTGGCAAAATCGAAGCTTTGTTACTACTTACTCTCACAACCTCCGTCCATGTAAGCGAGTGAATTTACCGCCTTTTCAGATTCCTTTAGTGACCGAAATCGAGAATGTCTATTCCCTGCTGATGAGTCCTAATAAGGTCAAAACTGGTCCAAGAATAACGTTATCTTTGGTAAGCAAGATCAAAGTTTAAATATTGAAATATGAATTTTTTAACTTTGTTATTTTCTTTGGATATAATTCAATGTCTGCTGCCGAATTAGCCAAAGAAGTAGTTGTTTTTTGAAGGGAAACGTTAAAGTTTGGATTTATTTACCTTTTTTAATAAAATATTTGACTACATGTTTCTTATAATAGTTTTAAATTTACTCTATTCTTTAGTAGGAATATGCCCATAATCTCTTATTTATTTTGATTGATGATTCTTAATGTATGCTCAAGTGCATGTCATAGTACTGTGGAACGATATTACAAATATATTTGAATTCCTTAGTTTTCTAGTTTTTATATGAAATAAAATACTTTCAAGAACTGAGCAATCAATATTCCCATGTAATAATTACATAAAAAAATTACAGTTTTTAATATGAAAGTTTTGTTTAAATAACGTGATTCCAGATTTATTTGCTACAAAATATATATCGGCCTTGGATTGTTGTATTAATTTCATATAAAATGGTATTTTAAATATATTCTATGTTTTTATTTAATTTAAAATAAATTTTCAAAAAGACTATGTTTTTTATTTTTAGAAATCTCTTAAAATTCATAAAAAAAAATTAAAATTCTATTACGAGTTTTTAAGGTTATTAGTTCTACTGTGTAGGTAAATCCTTAATATTTTCGAATTATGTTTAAATGTGTTAGTCCTATCCTGTACTTCATGCAATCAATGCGCAAGTGCGTAGGTCGCTTTTTTTTTAAAAGATGGCCGCCTTCAATTCTACTTGCCTGATGAAAATGACATTTCCTATCTCCTTTATCGATGTCTGTAGTTTGTACATCTCTACTTACTGGCCTAGTTTTCGAGAGACACGTACCACTTGTTATGCCTTCGGTATTAATGTCGCGATTTCGTGAATTTGTTTTAGACGCATCATAGTATAATAAATGCAGCTATAAGAAAATAAGTCAAAATCTTCACGTTGGCTCTAAGATGACATGTAAAGTAGCTAAAATTGTAGAAAATTAGGGGTTAAAAATACTTACGATGGAGGAGCTTCCAATTCAGCTAGCAGCTCTTTAAGAGATTTTACATAAGATTTTCTTGACCAATAAATCCGATAGTACTTTCTACCTAAATTTGATATGGCAACTGGCAGTTTATTCGTGAGGTATGTGAGATGAGAACCCAAATCATATTCTGGTTCCAATTTCGGAACACACTGTAGGGGATATCCAATTCCTTCTCCATTCACCTTTATTACTATATTCTCTCCATTTTCAACGTCCACAAATATCTAAAATAGGAATGCATTTTATCATAATATAATATATAGACTACGAAGGAATACTTTTACCATTTTTTAACCAAAATATACAAAATTAATTTGGGAAAAAATGAGAAATCACTGAATATCAAAATGTTTTAGAATGATTAATTTTTTCATGTGTCAAAAAACTCAAATTTTATGATTTCAGCCAATAAGAGTTCGCGATCTTAACCAATCATTGAGTTTTATACTGACTATCTCCCTGGACCAAATATCAGCGACTATTTCTTTAGAGAAATAGTAAATATTTGGTCTAGTGAAATAGACGTTCCAAATATAACAAGACATTGATTAATATTCTGCTATTTTTGTTGTTGCTAAGTTTCTCGAACATTTAACAATTTGATTCTACATAATTTTGGCATATACATATTTTTAGTCAATAGAAACCCATAATTTTTCAATCAAGAAGCAGCTTTGCATTTGACGTTTGTCCTAGGTTCCTATGTAATTGTTTTAGTTGACAAAATCAGTAAGTATTAAATTTTCGTAGATAGTTAAACTTCGATAATTATATTATCAAAATGTCTGATATCAGCGATATAGAAGACTTCATCGACTTCTCCACACATAACGGAGAAAGCAGAAAATGCAGTACAAAATACTTTGCATTTTCTAATGATTTATTAAAAATTAAAAACAAGACGCAGACACCTTTAATAAAAAATTAGGAACACCATCTGGGCCTGATATTAACTTATTTGAAATATTTAAAATTTCATTGAAGATGTCGGTTTTTGAAATATCATAGCACTAGCTTTGTCCCAACATCTCACAAAACCGTAATATTACGGTCATCGTCATGCGCAGTAAATAAAAACCTATCAATAAAGCCCAAAGTCGAACGGTTTTTATTTACTGCGCATGACGATGACCGTAATATTACGGTTTTGTGAGATGTTGGGACAAAGCTATTGTTACTCAGATTCATATCAGTAGTAACATCACCTGTAACTTGGGATGGATTTACAAAAACAGTATATCGATTGTTTAATTCTAATATCCAGTACATGCATGGATTGAAATTTTAGTTTAATAGTGCTATATACAGGGTGAGTCGGGAGGAGCGCACGTGAAAATAATGTAAAAAAACTAACGATACACATACACCGGTATGCTCCTACGCATGTTAGCTCTTGTAATAATTGGCATTATTATTAATTGAAAAAATCTAAAGAATTTAAGAAAAAATCTTAACAAGTATTTTATGTTTAAATTAAAAAGACACGTATGAAAATAAAACAAACCTTCAAATTATTAATCTACATTGAACGTGACATTGTTAAATACAATCAACCATCACGTAAATTTTGGTTTATATAAAAAGGATCACTTGGGTAAACACTCAGTCGGGTTCGGACTAAGGTCCAGAACTTTCGCCCCTTGGGCGAAACCCTGGTTTTGTATTGTAAAGTAAAGTGTAGAGTATAGTTTTTGTGTACGATGTAAATTATGGGTAAATATTTTAACTTAATTTTAAAGTGTTTTTTTTTGTTTAATAATAATTGATTGATTGATTTACATTTAAATGCCAATTTTACATTATCGTCCCGAATTATATTTATCTTATGCATATCTTTATTACTATTAGTTATAGTGCTTTATTCCCTAAATGGAATTTTATTCATTTTTTTCTAAAGACTATTTGTCAAGTTTTATATTTATTGTTAATATACATCTGTTAATGTTTTAATACTTATTATTAATCTCTCCTCCCTTTCCAAACCAGCAAAATACTCCGAGCATTTGAGAAGCCTCGGTGTTTCTATTCCCTTAGGACTAAAAGGGTCTAAAACTAGTTGCCAAGAAACGCTCGACATATGCTATTAAGGGATTTTTTTGTATTTTATTATTTTTTCTTTATTATTTTCTTTTGCCACTGGCGAATGGATGTTCCTTCAGGACTCCAGGACCCTAGCGCTGGTGATAGGTGCTACCTTTATCACTTAATAGTATAATGACAACAGTAGCTAAAGACCTATCAGTAGTTGCAAATGGTCTTTAGGCATCCTGGTTGTTGCATTTGGTGACGAGCGTTGGTCCTTTAGGATTTCCTGGTTGTTACAATTAGTGACAAGCGGTGTTTTTTGATAGTATTTGACTGGTTGGAAGGAAAAGGGGAAATTTGTTATTAAGGATAAGGAGATATATCAAGTTTTTTACAGACATTTTTTTTTAATTTTGTAATTTTTTTTGGAGAGGATAAGTGCCTCTTAATAAATATAGTCTCATCCTTGAGTGGATACAGAAATCAAGTTCAAATTTCATTTTATTAAATAAATTAGCGTACCTGAATTGATAAAAAAAAGATAAATAAATAGATGATAATTTAATATAATGTTTTAACTAAATAGTTGTTTAAACAAAACAATGACATTGAAAATAATTGTAACAAAAATAAACATAGGGTTCAAGTCAAAATACTATACAATTTTATTTATAATATTATATTTCTTTGTGTACAAAAAGTCAGCTTTTCAATAATAAAGAGAAAATTAAATAAATAATAATAATAAATAAGAATTGCGAAGGGAAAATATTTAAATAGGTTGATGATGTATAAGTATATCTAGTTTAGATGATAAAGAATTTAAAGGTAAATATTGTCACTGTTTACATAAAAAATCGACATTGAACTATAATGAACTATAAATATGATATTACATTTTCGACAAAGTATTTATTTCAAAGTGCAGTGCTACCAGTTGTCGTAGGTCAGTATTATAGGTAAAGTTAGTTCAGCGACGTACAGCGTTAAAGAAAAATTGGCATTTTTAAATAATTTTTTTTTTTCAGAAGTATATGGGGTTTTAAGGTTTAAATTTTGTGAATTAAAAATAATAATATAGATATGCAGTGTTTTAGATTAAAGATGTTTACCAGGCCATCAGCAATAGAGTTCAGGAGGAAAAGGACGATTTCTACATGCACGAGAAAGAAAAAAGGCGGACAAGTGCGAAATGTGCGAATAGCACATCTTAAGATGATTTAAAGAGGTTTGGACTGCCCAAAAGAGGCAGAGCAAAAATTGATATGTAAAGCGATTAGGTAGTAATATGTGAATATTGTGTTACAGATATGCGACGAGGAATTCCAGGAGCTCCAGGCTAAAAACAGGAAGAAAAGAAGAAAGTTTGGGGACATCCGATCGAGCAATTCCCCCAAGCAGTGTCCACGACAGGACGAAACTAGAGGAAAGGTTGTCACGTCACGGTATGAAGGGATAAGCTCTTAGGACCTTTTCCCTAGACTGTGATGGTGACAAATTTAGGTAAATAGATTGGAGGGAGTTTGGGGTCACATGGATCGACATAGTTTCCGACCAGCCCTAAACAACGCCCTTTGATGTCAGGACAAGATTGTAGTGTACTGCCTCTGTTTTTATTACGTTACCATGTGATTTTTAGTTTTAGACAGATATAAAATAAATATAACTTGTCAACAAAAAATATATTTGTCACAGAAAAAGCAAAACCTTTTATTCACATTCATACTCCGATATAACATACCAGGTTAACTACACGGCTCCGACAAATTGGTGACCCCGAACGTTTTCCCATTTTTACAAAATTCTGTAAGAATTTAAAGAATTTTGCTAGCCGATCAATACGAGTTCCTGTAAATGACCCCATCTTCTATCCATGATTCAACATATACTGTCCTGACTTCAAGATATATCCTGTACCAATTCTAACAAGATAAATAATTTAAGTATTTTAGTAGCAGTAGATAAGTACCTAATATTAGATATTCAATTCAATATCGTTAAAACCATTTTTATTTAAATTTAACTAATTTATATAATGTCACAAACTGAAGATATTTCAGGGAACGGTGATTCTGTCAATGTTGAACGCACACTTTCCTCTTTAAAATTACCACCCTTTTGGACCCCAAATCCAGAAATTTGGTTTACACAAGTTGAATCACAATTTGCTTTATCTAGGATAACTTCATACAAAACTAAATATAACTACATTATTTCGAATTTACCTTTTAATATTATTTCAACCATTTACGATGTCATAACTAATCCACCGCAAGAAAATCTCTATAAAATTTTGAAAGAAACCATTATCTCTCGTTTAACTTTAAGCGAGGAAAAACGTTTAGACGAACTCCTATCAAATTCCGAGCTAGGTGATAGAAAACCATCAGAATTTTATAGAGAAATGCTAGGTATGGTTGGAGGCTCTCAAATGGTCAGCCAAGATTTGTTGATAAAACTTTGGAAGCGACGCTTACCAAAAACAATTTTAGTTGCTATTACAGCTTCTGGTAAAGATACTCTCTATGATATTCTCGACTTAGCGGACAAGATTTGGGAGACCTATAAGCCGGTGAATATTAGTTCAATACATGATTTTCCACCGTTTACATTCAACAATTCAGGGTCTCAGGTCAAACCAGATAGTTCATTAGATTCCATTACTGAATTGACCAAAGCATTTAGTGAGTTTTCTATCAATTGTAGTAGACTTTTACAAACTATTTCCGATAAACAAAATTTTCTAGAATCACAGATTAATTCTCTCCAATCCCCAGGTCCTTCTCATTGTTTTAGTACTATTAATGAAAGTACATGTGATTTCTGTAGACACGGGAATCGCTCTAGGAGCAAATCTCCAAACCGATCTCAACAGTCAGTAAATAACTTGAAAATTTGTTATTATCACAAAAAATTTCAAAAGAATGCTATCAGATGCATTTTATACGAAACCCTTAAACATCCAGAACCAAAAAACGAGTAGACTCCAAAGCTTCGGCGGTAGCGAGTGGATCTACAAAAAATGTAAACCGTCGCTTATTTATTTTTGACGCAAATAATAAATTTAATTTTTTAATCGATACAGGGGCTGACATTTCAGTCATTCCTCGTGATGTTTTTAAAAATGTTAAAAAATCAGATGATCTATTTCTTACAGCAGTGAATGGTTCCACCATTAATACATTTGGAAAACAATTCC